CACACACACACACACACACACACACACACACACACACACACACACACTGTATTGAAAACCCCAAAGCTGAGCTGGGGAGATTTCAATCCTTAAAACCCATTTAATAAACTAGGAAAATACTTGCAATTGCAGTGATAATGAAATGTAAGCAAAAAAAGGGCAGATTCCTGGAACTTTCCGGTTGGCCTAGCCTCAGTAAGGCCCCAGAGACCCTGTCTCAAACAAAAAAAATGGAAGGACTGACAGTCAAGGTGTTTGTCCTCTGATTCATACACACACACACACACACACACACACACACACACACACACACACAAAGTCCCTTCCTCCATTGCCACCCCTCCGCGTGGAGGCCAGGCCAGGGCACATTCCTGGCTCCTTGGGCACACACCAAGCACTTGTCCTGGTTAAACAGTCCACTGACTTACAGCTGCCAGCTCATCACATGTCTTTCCTGAAATGCCTGTTCTCACCCTGGGCGCCTCTCAGAGCAACGAAGAGCATGTGTGAGGCAGCCATCTCACAAATAAACCGTTGGATTCTGTTTACCCCAAAAGAAGCGAGTTAGGCTCTCTGGAAGGCTGCCAGATTCTGACGTCTATTTCCAGGCTTTGGTTGTGTGTGCCAACCAGACTTCCTCTGTGTTTTCTACACTGGGTTTTATGCTCTGTGTCATGAGTCCAAGAATTATCGAGGCATACATAATTCTCCAAAGAGCAACATACATGCTATATATTGGCCTTGGTATCAGCATGAGTTAAAAAAAAAGACACAACATTGTCCAAAGCTCTCCCTGTGTGCCTGCCACTATTGGAGTGGCTAAGACACACAGAGCCCGTTTCAGGCAAAACTTCCTTGGTGGGTGTCCTAACTCTCATGTGCCTGCTTCCCCTCAGCAGTAAGATGGGCAAGACCACAACAGCAGGGCCTTCCTTGAACTACTGTGCATGTGCAGGTCTCAGTCTTGCTGCTGTCTGACCTAACAGTGCAACGAACTGCTTTGTTTCCAGGATACTGCTCTCCTCTGCTCCAACCTAGCCTGCAGCAGGTTTTCACATTATCAGAGCTAGCGTCCTTAGCCTCTTTGGCACGGGGCCCTGAGACTTTGCGTGTCTAACCAGTTCTGGGTGACACTGGCCCTGATGTGCCTGACCCTGTGAACAGCGCTGGCCTAGCCAGGGCCAGTTTAGGACTGCCAATGAAGCCTTTTTCTCTCTCCTGGGCCTGCTAAGAGGGGCAGCCAGGTAAGAAAGCAGAAAGGCGATCTGACTGGCCCAGGGAGACCTCTGAAACCCACCAGTCGTCCCTGTGGATTGAGGCCAGCCGGCTGTCTTTAACTCTTACATATCTTACAGAAAAGTAGAAAGAGCTTCAGCAAATGGGAGAAGGGAACATCCCAGGCTCATCCGTTCTTTCTGATCACTACTTACCCTCACCTGTAATAAGTCTGCCCCCGTGCTCCTGTGATTAGAAGGGCAGGGCATTAGGTGTAACACCGAGGTTCTGAACCTCCCAGGGAAAATGCTCAGGGTATCTCACCGTAATCCTCCACCCTTGCTTAGCTTCAGATGCTTTACATGAGACTTAGCAACACCTCCCACTAGTGAAACAGTAGTTCCCGTATTTTGGCTTCTAGTTTCCCCGTGTGGTTTGTTTATGCACCAGATGAGTGTATCCGGACTTTCACAGGCCTTGCCCTTCATTCTTATTCTGCCCTGCTTCTGCCACCTGCAGGAAAAGAACGCACTCATCCCAAGGAGGGCAGGACCAGCAGCAGCAGGCCTGGCCCCAGTTGGCACAGGACTGACTAGCCAGCAGCCAGGCATGCTAGATTCATGAGGGATCTTGGCCCCAGCTAGCCTTCAGCTTTGAGAGCTGAATCAACTAAACGTTTTGCTGGGATAACACTGAACTCAGCCAGCAATTTTCTGTGGAGTATCATGGGTGCCTTTCCCTTTTTAGAAATGGAGCCTACACAGTCTAGAGATGAGAGGTCAGCGTGAGGAGGATGTACCTGTGTCCTGGGAGATTTATAGCTGAGGAGGGGTACGGGGTCTCAGGATGCAAAACTGTACCTCAGAAGTTAGCAGAGCCCCCGCTGGTGAGAAGAGGAACTTGTAAATATGGCGAAAAGTGGCAAAAAGTAGAGGCTTACCCTGCAGGAACTCTTGGCCTCCCAGACTCAAGGCCATCCGGCGGCTCCCCTGGTCATATGTCACCCCAGGACATGTACCATTGGCCTGAGTATCAGCAGCATCCCTCCAGTCATTGATGTGGCAAATCAGAATGTCGGGAGAGCTGAGAAGTCCACAGATAGTGGGCCCTGTCAGAGAGGAGAGGCCAGTGTGAAGGAAACCATTGGGACCCTGCATAGCCTTCCTGTTTTTCTGAGAGCCTGGACAATACCCGAGGATGACACAGGGACGCTAGGGTACTGGAGTCTGCTTTCAAATCCCGTTCTGAAGATGGTCTCAGAGGTCCTCTTACGTGGCACTGATACACTACACAGGGAGAGTGCACCAGCTGTGGACTTCATCGTGTGGTCACATGGGGATGAGATGCTACTGGAGAGTCAGTGTTCACAAGAAGCACTCAGAAGAATCTGGTGTAGAGCCAGATTCAAGAGTCACTGACCTCATTAGGTACCCTAATTTCACAGAGGGGGACACTGAGACACCACAAAAGGAGAAGTGTTTTTTTTTTCCTAGTGTCTGAGCAATAGTGAAAGGGTGGAGGCAGCCGAAGCCCTACTAAGGAGCAGACTGGGCTGGAGAGAGGGGGGGGGGAATATGCAGGCAGAGACTGGTCCTCTTGTTCTCTGACCCCTAGGTCAGAAGGAAATCATACAGCTTCCTCTACTAGCAGTACATGTCCCTGTGGTAATCATGTTCCTGTGTGGTAGGAACCTGTCACTTGCAGGTCACATCCTTCAGCTCCAGCGACACTTGAATTTCAGGTCCTGGGAGCCCCCGCGTCCCTCTTCCCAGTATCCCTCACTTCAAAGCAGGCTTCAAGCATCATGAATTGTCACTAATGGCTCCCTATTGAAAACACAGCCATTCGTAGGGAGCTGGAGGTAAGAAGCCAGAGGAGGTAGGAGGTAGCTGGCAGCTTTCGTGAGGGGCAGCTAGGAGGGGAGAGGGAAAGGAGGGATTTAAAAGAAAGCTAAATGACTTTGCAGGCTGTGGTGGAGGATGTAGTGGGATTCTGTCCCCAGACCTCGGCAGTTCTAGCCAAAGCCCTCTAAATTAAAACTCCCAACCACCCACAGGACCGGATGAATCTGGAAAGACAGCCAGATGGTTTAGGCATGACCCAAGGGCCCAGTTTCTGGCACTGCATTTGAGGGTAGGGGTGGGTAAGATGTTGGGTTCAGAGTAATTCACAGCTCACTAGTTAGACTTGGAGGGAACAGTCAGCAGGCTGCCAACCACCGTGTCGTGGAAAACAGGGCTTGGAAGGCTCACTGCTCCACAGAACAAAATGGTCCTTCATATATGATCCTAGGGAAAATGAAGTCAGTGTTTCCACATGGAACAATCACGTGGTCTGGTGAGTAACACAGCGTCTGGAGAGACGGTGGTGCCCACAGAAGATATGTTTAGCTCAAGGAGGCAACCTGGCTTTGAAGGCAGACTTTCCAAATGGGTGTGTAGGGAGACTTGCATTGATGCACAACTCGGGGGCACTGAAAGGTTTGCCCATCTAAACACTAACGTGAACCCACATTGTATAACTGGAGGTCTGAGGCCAGGACAGTTAGGAATGAAGTTGTTCTAACCATCTTTTCAGAAAAACAGTCTAGCCCCGAGCCTGAGAAGGCAGCTTCATTAGTGAAGCGCTTACTTTGCATGCGTAAAGGCCAGGGGTCAGTCCCTGGTACCATAAACATTACATGCCTGATGGAGCATGCCTGCAACACCAGCACTGAAGACGTGGGAAGAGGAAGGTCACGAGTTCAAAGTCATCCTTGGCTACCTAGAAAAATTTCAACTTGGGATAATCAAGCCCCTGTTCCAATGAAAATGGCAAAACCAACCAGTTTCAATCTTGTCACTACTAACCACAGGGAACTCAGCTGGGCACCTTCCAATGGGTGTTTCCTGGAGCTGGAGCAGCATGAGGGACCGTCAAGGCTCCCTGTGTGCCCTCCCCTCCTTCATTCCGTTACTTATAGAAGCCCCAGGTCTCTTCCTCCCTGCCTAGTGGCCCTACCTTTCTTTCAAGTATTCACCAGGGTCTGACACACTGCACATCTTCTCACCCATCACCTTCTGTCTCCCCAGAATTCTCACTGGCACTCAAACCTTTTATTTAATAAAAAAAAGACAGGGTCTTAGGCAGCCCTCTACCTCAATGACTTTGAACTTCTGATTCCCCTTCCCCCACCTCCTTAGTAGGATTACAGGTGTGCACTTCCAAACCTGGCTTTATGTGGTGCTAACGATGGAGACCAGAGCCATGTGCATACATGACAGTCATTCTAATAACTGAGCCACATCCCCTGCCCTAGTCCCACAACGTCCGATGTCACCAGGTGGTTTCTGTCTTCTGTCCACTCTGATGATATTGCTTATCCTCTTCCATCCACTGGGCCCTCTGGGCCCTGGAGCTTCGCATCGAAGATGAGCCACATTCTGAGATATCTCAAATGTGCATCACACTTAGTGTGCCCAGGCCGACTCCTGAGCTCTCTAAGTCTCCCTCTGAGGTCATGCGATAGATATCCTGGTGTCTCTGCTATTTGTTACTGATTACGGAGCCAAATCCCACCAGGAGAGCCAGCCACAAACCTCTTCTTCCCATCCCCAGAGTCCTCTTGAATTTGCCTCCTTTTCCTCACCCCACTGCCACCACCCTAGTCCAGGCCACCTGGTCTTTTGCATAGCTTCTCACCTTCTTGACCCCTCCACACCCAGGTGAACGTCAACTATCGATTTTTCTACGCTCCAATCAGAGTGCTGGCTTCAAAGGCAAATGTGACCGTGACCCTTACTGGCTTTAAGCCTTCCAGGGCTCCCAGGGTTCTCAAGATAAAAAGGCTTGCTGGTGCAGATGAAAAGGTCCCCTTGAGGCGCCCTCTCCCTCCTGCTCCTTCTTAAGCCATGGTCGACAACTGCTTGTTCTCCCTGCTCTGGGGATCAAGCTAACATGAAGCTTCTCCTCTCCATCACAAACTGATTTCTAACATGCTCCCTTTCTTCCTCTACCCAAGACTACCATAACCTCTTCGATTTACCAAGTTACCGTATACACTCTATTTGAGACCAAAGGAAATCGTCACTTTCTCTCTGAATAGAACAAAACAGTATAGGTTCCCAAAGTTGTATTTAACTTTCTTTCTGGGCCCAGCAATTGCCAATTATCCTCTTATCTCTTCATAATTTCTTCAGGGAGAGAAGGCTAAGAGGCAGAAAAGGAGAATGCACGTTCTTGTTTCTCAGCATCCACTCACCATGCTGACCTGATTACTGAGACCCAGAGTCTGCCAGTGGTCTTTAAACCGGATGGTGTCTCACAGCCTCTAGCTTAACACCCAGTAAATCCTACTCTAGCATTGCCCTGGTTTCCTCACCTCATCTATGTGCTGTCTACTCCACAGCACACTGACCAGCTCTTCTTCCCCAGAAGGCCACTGAGTCCCTACGATCTCATGACACTTTACACTACATAACTCCAAAGTCCCTTCCTAACCATAAGGTCACACTGCTGAATGCCTAGGTTTATTTCTGCAAAATGAAGCGATACCCACTGCTGAGGAACCATTGAAAATGACCCAGGGAAGATAAGCCATAGGCTGGTTTTCAATATTGTCATTAGGAGCAGAGGAGTGAGCCATGGCAGTTTGACCAAAAGTGACCTTGCCAGTCTTCCCAGGTAATGGTAAGATATTGGGAAGGATACATCAAATACTACCCTGTCCCCTCAGAAGCTATATAACACTGAGAAAATTATTTCCATTTCTGGAGCCTTGTTTTTGTTTATAAAATTGAAGATAAGTATAAAAATTAAATCAGCATTATAGCAAGAAGTATTGACACAATCGATGGCATTGGGAAGAGGCCGGGCTTTGTTCCTGATTTCGTGTGTGAATATCACCTTCCATTTGGGCATGGTAACATCAGTCTTATGAATTCCAATGCCAGGCTCCACAAGGTAGCTTTTGAGTCTTCAGATACCCTATACCCCTGGGTAGGCCCAGCCCTCCAGTTGGCCATACCTGCTTTGACCTGTGTGAGGATGAAGCCATCACAGCACGAGTCACGGTCACAGGCAAGCAGACAGAAGAGGTGTGCATCTGTCAGGTTGACTCCCGAGGCTGAGAACACCACAGGGCTGTACAGCCCGGACAGCACGTTTTGAAAACCTGTTGGTTCGAAACTCTTCTGACCAGCTGCAGTGGATTCTTGCCCTAAAGAGAGGCAGAAAGAGTCTGAAAAGACCTCAAAACCCTGTGGGTTTGAGCAGAGCTCCCTGATCTCAAACAAGTCGCTGAGTTCGGTCCATGTCTGCAGGGAACAGTGTGGGACCAAGACAGGATTCTCTCTGGGCAGGAAACCTCTGTACTTGACCAGGCACAGAGAGGATATGACTGCCATACATGGACCTTAAAGCCTGGACCACACATTTTATACCTGTGAATATCAGCACACCTAGAAAACTGCATGGGCTGTTCCTTTGATTATTCCGATGTGGCAGCAATGTTCCATCTGCATAGACAGTGCACCCCCTACTATCTCATTTCTTGTTTATTGCTTCATGTATGTAACCTAGATAAGCCTGAACACATGGCAGTGGCAGACAAGGAAACCAGGCTGCCATCATTCAGAAGACACAATGGATGCTATTTACTCCATCCTGTTCTATCAAACATCGGCAGGGGAGCTTAGAGTAGAAAGGCAGAGGCAGGGCTAAGGGGTCTAGCCTCTTGCTTTCAACCTGCCTTAGGTTCTTCCTTCCAAAGGTTCTGACACATGACTCTTCACTAAGTAATCTACCATCACTCAGCCCTCGCTGACACCTGCTTTTCAAGCTGCTTTCCCCACTGTCCACAACAGCAGTTTCTGAGTAGCTCAGCACACCTTTTTCTGTAATTAAGCCATCGAATTTAGTAGGCTCATATTGTCTCTGCTAACCCTCTGGTTAAAACTGGCTTGCTCTGGGGCCTTGCCTGTTCCTAATTCTACTTCTCCTTAGAGCATTAATCTATACATAGGGTGTGTATATGTGTGTGTGTGTGTGTGTGTGTGTGTGTGTGTGTGTGTGTAGCCTTATTCTTGTGCTCATGTTATTCCAAGGAGAGAGCCTTAGTCTGTGATGTGAATTCAGCAGGTTCAGGTGGCAGAGGAGTCTATGCTTTTCCTGGACTGACTTCCAGTAGCCCAGCGGTGGTCCAGGCCTGCACTGACTCCCATTCCTAGAGACACTGCAGAGGCTCACGGCAGAGCCTCAGATTCTGAGAGTTCCAAGGGAACACCCTAATGGCCCCTTACTACACAAATGCCAGGATCCTCTGGGCCTCTTCTTCCTCGCCTACACGCAGGCCTGAGATCCCCTCTCCTCACAGATATCGAATGGAGACAAACTGCATAGAAAACAGCTATGCAGTGATCCCAGTGCTAGCTGATACCCCACAGGTGTTGTACACACTCCACAATGCCAGCACTCTTCCCTCCAAGCATGGACCCACTCAGCCCCCTCTGCCTAATACCTCATGGAAAGCTGCTACCATCCCACAGAGGAGCCCAGGTTCTCTTAAAGGAGACATCCTGTTTGTCACCTTAGGACTTGCCACTCCTCCCCTGCATTTATGCCCTGCTTGGGCCTTTAGAAAAGACCCCCCCACCTCGTGCGTGCGCGCTGTATTTAAGCTATGGGAGAAAATGTACACACTGCAGCTCCCAGGTAGGGAGATAGATAGCATCACAAGCTTCCAGCCACACGTCACTGTCTGAACATCGATTTCATTAGATCAGAGCTATGCTGCCACCGCCATCTGAAGGCACAGGGGTGCCGTGTGACTGATGACTGCCCCTTTTCATCGCCTAGGTTCTCAGGCTGCAGTTCTACTGGCCAGTGCTTCCTGGTGCCAAGACCAGAGTCACAGCTGACCTGCATGTCCTTCACCTAGGACAAGTGTCACAGAAGACCCTGAATTGCTATACACTAAGCTTCCTCCCATTTTTCGAGTATCACTTGCAATGTCATCTCTTCTAGGGCTCCCCCATGACTGCTGAAGCCATTCGTGCTAACTTTAGTCCCATCTCTCCTCTTCATTTTAATCTGAGAACTTCGCATGCTGCAAAATGCTCTCCTCACTGAATTCATTCTTCTCTCGTTCAGTGTCATGTTCTGCTCACAGTTTTAGCCACTGGGTCACTAAAGCCCATATAGTCCTGTGAGGCCTAGTGAGGAGTTAAGGACATGGCAAGGCTGTGTGCTCTATATGGCTGCCGTGTTCTCCACAATGGAGTAGGTCCCAGTGATCATATGAGAAGCATGTTTCACCCAGATGTAGTGGGTAGTTGGATGCTTCTCCTTTCCAGATCTCGACTTTTGTTGGAAAGCTGGGTTAGCCCATCACATAGGAGCTTCCCAACATTGGTCTCCTGTGATGCTAAGGATCGCATGCTCCTCTCACAGGTTCCAGGACCATAGATTTCAACTGGGTAAGAACCAGGAGATGCTGGACATTGTAGAAAACTGGGAGCCTCTAACTCCCTGCCCCCTTTTATGGTTCCATCACACAAGTGACTTAGGGTGAGGGTGGACCTGGACATGAAGGCCCTTAGCGAGTGAGGACTGTCTAGAACCTGTGTTATTTCCTCCTGTAACATATTATTTGCATTCTGGAAAAAGGACTGGGCTTAAAGTAGAAGTGGGAAATAGTCTGATCGGAGGTGGAGTAAACACAGGAGGTTGAGTCCAGCTGCCTACCACTTCCAGTACAGCGGGAACACATCTTGGCTTTAAACAGACAGAAAGCAAAATAAAGCACCGAGCCAATTTCTGCCCTAGGTTGAGTTTGGCAGCAAAGAGGTTCTCACTTTCCCTTGTAATCCAAATATAAACTTCCAGGGGACAGGAGGAGGCACAGGACAACAAACACTTAAACATGTAATTGTATTTTTAAGTGTGATAAAAAGGCTAAATTACAGTTTTCAAGGGACATTTTTAGCTGGGGTTGCCTCATTTGTTTTGGCTTTTATTAGTAGAATAAAGCAGTCCCTAAGCTTTGTTATACTAAAAGTGGATGGTAGGAACAGTTGCACATTGAGGTGGAAGCTGCAGCAGCCCAGCTGTAGGTCAGAGAAAGCCAACACCAGAAGACACTGGTACCACAGACATGCCCTGCTCCATCAGGACAGGGATGTGAGGGAGAAAACACCGTGCTTGTCCTCGCACAGGATGAAGGATGCTGCAGGGTCAGCTGAGGCTGTGGCCTGGCCATCTAATGCCAGCTGCTTCCAGCTCGAGGCTGAAGCTTCAGCGTGCTGTAGTCCATGTGCCTAGAGCTGCAGTTCTCAGAGAACGCCACCTCACTCCTCTCCACCCTCAAAGCCCAAGTCCTGCCTCCATTACCTGTTTTCTGGTCCTCAGCCAACAGACATTCTCACTTTCCCAGTTCTTTCCATGCAGGGTTTCCAGGGGTAACAAGAGCTACCTCATTGAACCTTCCTGACAACCAGATCTCACCGCTATAAACATTAAAGTCTAGACTATCTGGGAAGATTCCAGAGATCAAACAGCTAGCCCTGTGAGGGTTCAAGTACACTCAGCTGCCTCCAAGGCAGAAACAAGATACAGAAGTCAGAAATCTTGCCTCTCAGAACCACTGTAAAACTATAGCCCAGAGAACCAGGACTGGGGAAGGAGCCACAGGCCCCAGAGCCCAGCTACATACTTCTGGCCCCTCTCTGACCTGCGGGTGAGGAACAGGAAGCAAACAAGGCAGGACAGGGGGGTGCGGGCCACAGGACATTAGAGACATTTGCTACTCACCCCTCCCATACTCCCAGGGTCCCGGGCTTGCTTTCTGCTCTCCCTGTGTTGTTTTAAGAATGTTGAGACCCCAGAACAGCTCTTCAGAAACATACAGAGAGACTGTGAAGGGCTGGCAAGATAGCTCAGTAGGCGAAGGCTCTTGCTGCCAAGGCTGACAGTCTGAATTTGCTCTCTAAAACCCATATGGTGGAAAGAGAAAATGACTTCCTCAGGTTGTTCTTTGACTGCTGCATGCATCCTGTGGTGTCTGTGTGCCAACTCCACACACACACACACACACACAGAGAGAGAGAGAGGGGGGGGGGGGGAGAGAGAGAGAGAGAGAGAGAGAGAGAGAGAGAGAGAGAGATGATAGGTAGGTAGATAGAAGATAGCTGATGTTGATGTTAGATAGATAGATAGATAGATAGATAGATAGATAGATAGATAGATAGATAGATAGACAGATAGTCTTTTTTAAAGATACATGGGATATTAAAGGAAGTCAGTGTCTCTGAGGCCTTCCTTCAAGTTTCCATAAAGAAAAAAGAAAAGATACATAGGAAAGTGAGATGTGTAATACTCAGTAGAATATTTCTTCTTATTCACATGGTTCCAGACCTTGGGGAGTTATTAAGAACTTTATATCCCCACCTCCCCTCGCATCCAGATCCACCCCTTCTGTCTCTCATTAGAAAACAGACTTCTGAGGGATAATAATAAATTATATTATATTGTATGCAAAAAACCTATTTTCAGCAAAAGGGGGAAAAAGCAAAACAATAATAAAATGAAGAAATACCAGTTCCGTTAGCAAACATTACAAAAAAAAGAAAACCTGATATACTTGGCCTAACTCATCGAAAGCCTCAGATTCTGTCATCTCCCACATGACACACATATACACTACCACCAGAGGGCGTTCCATGAGAATAGAGGTGGAAAAGAAAGCCCTTTCAGGTTTAGATAGGGGTGGAGGGTGGTCTGACTCAGAAAAAAAAAAGAAAGAAAAAATGAGTAGGAGTCCCAAGACCTGGGAGGTATGACTGGAGGGAGATAGGCCTACAAGTTGCTAGAAGGGCAGATATAGGCAGGATTAAGGCCTTGGTCTGCACGGCATATAGGCCAAGCTGATTGGGTGCATGTCTGTATTCTGTCTGAGCTATCATTGGCTCCTTGGCTCCTGCATTGTGAGGCTCACAGCTCCAGTAGACTGGGATAAAAACCAGAAACGATGGCGCAAGTGCACGTTATGCAGAAATCCCTTTGCAGTTGCAGAGAGGCCCCTGTCTGTCTGCAGAGGGCAGGCAGGCTGAGCCTGCTTCAGGGGGTTAGGGGAGAAGCAGGTCACATTCATGGTGTGAAGGGAGGGGAACAAACTCCTCCCCACAGATGCATCATGCTGAAAACCACTGCAGACACAGCCAAGGGAAGCCATAGCGTCAGCCACCCAGCATCCCCAACCTACCTTTCTTTCTATACACAGCCAGAGAGCCCGCACCGCTAGTCCTCACTTTCACCTGGCACAGAAGGCTCCTGAAGCTGGTTGCCTTGGAGTTGCCCATGGCATCTTGCTCCTGGAAGTGGAAAAAGGACCCCATTATTATCCAGTGTTCCCCATGGTTTACAGCAAGGCAATTATAGATGTTCTAAACCATAAGCGCAGTTATCTATCGAGGGGCTGCAAGGAAACTTCGTGAGGACGTCTGGTTCTAGGTCTTCCAGCCTTATTAGAGGGGCACCGTGGGAGCCGCAAACTCTCATCAACTGTGCTGGCAGCTGCAAAAGACATGCAACGGGTGAAGAGTCTGTGACAGGGGTGATAGGTGGATTCTGTAGAGAAGCAGGATACGGCAGAGCTTCCCAGAAAAACTGAATACGGACGGGACTCTAATTAGGGACCAGGATCTCTTTCCAGTGAGATGGGCAGTGGGTGGAGAGAGGAGAGGGGAGGAACCTTCTCAGAGGAGGCCTGGCAGGTGCACAGTCTGTCCACAGACAGGTTCTTAAGCTTGGGAAGGTGAGTCAGACTACAGTGCACCTGCCATTCTTGGTCACCTATGATCTCTTTCCTGATTGGCTTTCAATGGTTCTGTGGGTGGGGCAAAGCTGATCACACTCATCAGTGGTTTGTTTTCAGGATTTTGCCAACCATGGAGTTTCCCATGAGGGCTCTTTAGGGCAGAGGCTAAAGTACAGGCTACTTGAAGGCACTGTCTCTTCATGCTTTCTTTACAGAAGAGACCAAGGCCTGAGGAGGGAAGGTAGAGCCATGGAAGCTGTAGAACAAAGGGGCGGTGAAGACCTGAAAGGGATTGAGGTAAAGACCCAGCATGGTGAGAGCCTTTCTTATCCTTTCTGGTTTTACCTGCCTGGGCAGGAGTCAAGATGATCGTCTGGACTTGTGAGGCTGAACCTCTGCACTATGGTTCCCAAATCTGAAATGAGTTGGAGTTGCAGATCCAGGGAGGCTCTGAGAGCAGCTAGGAATGGGGTTCTAACCCTCAAGGAGATGGACCAATCAGATGTAACTAACATCCAAGCCCCACTCCTGCCTTAGGACAGCACTGAGCGCCCAGGGCCCTGGGGAAGAACCTTAATAATGTTCCAGGCAGGGCTTCCAGCGATACTTCCTGCTGGCCCAGCTAGAGATTGGGGAGGGGAATAACACTGACAGCAGCGATATCCATCATAGCAAAGCTCACAGCAGAAATTGTCCTGTGTGGCACCTGGAAGCCTTCCTCCATCTTCACAACCCTGCTGTGATGTGGGTATATAGTCATTTATTACTGGGGGCACAATATCTGAAGGATCTAGAGACTAAATAGCAGAAAACAAGTGGGGAGGGGGCTTATATTTCAATCTGAGTCCCGCCAGCATTTCATTTACATCAAACAAACTGCTAAAACTCCGGGGGGGGGGGGGAGAGCCCTCTCCAGGCACCTGGCGGGGCATCATGCGGGAACATTCTGACTCATGTACACTCCACAGGCACATGCCGTATCCAGGGCTGGTGATGCTTTAAGGCGACCATGCACCTGGGTGTCCTAAACTGAAAGCACTTGAAGTGGGTCATACATACCAATGCTGTGGCCTGGCTTCCACACTAAAAAGATGCAGACATGAAAAATGCATGACGGAGTCGGGGAAGAAAAGAAGACTGATTGTGTCCACATACACACAAGCTAAAAAAGGATTACAACATGTAGACATTTTTCTAAGAGGACCCGGGAAATCTGGATAGTAAAGTGGAGACTTGCAACATCGGGCATTTAGGACGATAGGACCTGGGACTTGATCTTGGCTGGACGCCCTTCTACCCTAATGCAATAGTACAACCTAAAACTTCTCATCTTCCAATAGCTTCCACTTGTAGAAACAGCAGCCTCATGTAGGCCTGATGGATGTCTAACCTTTTCATATTTCCAAAGCACGGTCACAATTGACTTCCACAATGGAAGCACTGCTGGTGTCCAGAGCTCAGGAGTCAGATATTTAGGGCTCTGGACAACAACCCCTTAGCATGAGGACCTAAGCTGCCTAATGAGGTAAGCAATGGCAGAGGACGAGGGCTCTTCACACTGAGGCGCTGTCCTGATTGGTCAGATGCTGTTCTATTCCTGCTGTTACTTCCTTAGTCTCTCTAGCCCAGGACAGCTACAATTCCCGAACTGACCACTTTGACAGTCTTGAGGCACAGGGGCCACCTGATTGCCTCCGCGGGAACACAAGAGCATGTTCAGCACAGAGGAAAAGGAGTACAGCTGCCTGCGGCAACTTACCTGATCAGAAGTCATGCAGGCAAAGTTGTTTCTTGTCCAAGAATAAAAGTCACACACAACCTCTGGCCCTGTTGTGGACACCGTGAGGAAACTGCAGGCCTCATCGTCTGCACAATCTATAAGAACCATGGGAGAGTAACCTCTGGACTCTCAGCTGATACTGAGGATGGACAGTCCCACACCCTGTTCTCAGTCTCATCTCCTGCACATATCCCCACTATCCAAACACACACACACACACACACACACAAACACACACATACATACACATACACACACACACACATACACGCACACATACACACACACACACACACACAGAGTATCCAAACACAAATACTCACATTGTACCCAAATACACATGGAATACATAAACACACACACACACACACACAAACACATTAAAGGAATATCTATATCTATATATGGTTTTGCATGTTGACCCACATGAATTGGGCAGTAGAAAGCAAATAGAGTCTTTCAACCAATAAATATCCTGCTCCATCAGAACTCAAGAAAAATGGCTCACTTTAGCCCACATGCCCCCAGCCCTAAAGGCCACCTGCCCTTTAACCAAATTAACTTGATTTTCACTGCAAGAAAAACCCTATTTCAGACTTAGCCACAAAGACAGTCAAGGCAACGAGTGTTTCATATCAGTATCAGAACAATCAGGTTAATTTGTGCTGACCTAGACTCAGCCCTGCCACCATGTCCCAAGCACACGATGTACCCAGGGACATCGTACACGATGTACATCGTACACGATGTACAACCCACATCTTCACTTTCTTTACCTCCTTTCTGTTCCATTCTCAATAGTACATTCAATACATGACTTTCTTACAACTTCCTTTTTCTTATCAACAGTGGTACCCATCCTTCTCACTGCCTCCGCCATTTCATGTTCCTATCTCTTAAATGGCTATATGACCTTCTGCAACAGCCTCTTGATGCTTATTATGGGACTAATTATATCTCCTATTCCTGTGTTCAAGTCCTAACTATCAGTCCATTAGATATGACTATAATTTATTTAGATGTGGGCTCTGTAAAGCAGTAATAATGTGAACTGAGGTCATAATCTATGTCCTAATAAGGAGAAGAGAGGAGAACACAGATACACAGGGGAAAGCATGTAAAGATGAAGCAGGAAGATGGCCATTGAGAAACTGAGAACAGACCAAGGCTGCCAACCCCTTGCTCTCGGGTCTGCAGCATCTAGAGCCGTGGGAAATGACTTTTCTTGTTGAAAATATCCAAACCCCACTGATCTGCAGGTGCTGGCTGCCTCAGAGTAAGACAGCCTGCTCTCACATCTCTATCAGACCCTGTCTTGCCAGACCTTCCCGACAAGGTCGTCTCACTCTAACTTCTGCCTATTGCTGTCTCCTTACTTTAAGCACTGGGTTTTACCCTCTTGGATAAAATGTTTCCTGGTGCTACCAAAGGACCTTGTCCTCTCTGCTAACATCGCTCTGTATAATTCTACACCTCCTTTGTATTTGCCTGCTGCCTTGTCTTTCCAAACCAAGTTGTGTTACAGTGCAATGGTGCACATGGGAGCCTGTGCAATACTCCGCAGGGACAAGTGACCCTCCAAGGTACCTACGAAGTCTGTTGTCCTGGTGTTGCCTCCTCATGTCTGCACAACTTTTCCTTTGGCACTGTCTATCCAGTCCCCACACACCATTGTTCTACACACCATTGTTAGGCCCCTAGTTCCTGCTTTTGTGTTCTGGTCACAATACAAACAAGAGCAAAGACTGAGCCTAAACAGAGATGTTATCCAAAGTAGAATTCTTGTCCAGAGTGCCATTGGAAGAGCTATGTGGCCATGGCCACAATTGCAACTTGTCTGCTATTGGAAGAGGTGTGGGGCCATGGCCACAGTTGTAAAATATCTGCTAGCCTGGGTCTGAACTTAAGACTTGCCCCTTGCTAACTTCATGCCATTGAGTGAACTACTGACACCCCCAACACCTTCTTCTCACCTGTGCCTTGGATCACTATGGGGTGGTTGTAGCGTGGCTAGACGCCCCTGTAGAGAGGCATGTTCAGTGACCAGAAGTTGCTTCTCCTACCTTTCAGAACAGATTACATAGGTACATGGTGATACACAGGAGGGTGCGTTTCTATTTTCCAACGTTCAGTGCAACTCGTGGCAGTTAGTAGATACGAGATAAACCTCAGAGAAGTTAGGAATTGCACAGACATTTGATAAATCAAGTTGCTTATGTTTTTGACTAATTAAATTTGTCATCCCATTGAATAGTGTGGTTTGCCCTGTCTCTCCATGTGTGCATTTCCTCATGGCTTACCTGCCAAGCACTGTACCAGTGGGGAGTCAGCACCAGGGACTTTGGATTTGACTATCACAGGGGAATTGGCATCAAAGATCACCTTCAATTCTGGAACTTTCTCAAATTTCTGTATCACTGGAAATGAAACAGACCCGTGAGACCCAAGTCTGAAGTGTGTTGAGGACATTTTGCACATAACTATTAGGTCAGGCTAGAGGGTCCTGCTAAGATCAGGGTGTCACTGAACCCATTCTCACCCTTGATCACATATCTGTCTAACATGGAGCAATTGCCACAGAAAGGAGCGCAAGCCTGCTGCCTCGCTCCCAATTCTCAGCAGTATAGCTCTCTGGCCTCCTTCTCCCACCCTATTCCCGGGAAGGAAAGGGAAGATCTCACATTATAGTAGACCTTTCATCTCATCTCTTCTCATTGCTAACTGATTTTTTTTTTCCTGTCTAAGCATCTTTCCCTGTCTTTGAATGCTAATTATACTGCATGGTGATTACACTGAAATTGTCCTTCCCCCAAAATAATCTGAATTCTTTCTGAAGTGAGGTAAGCTATTTTTACAGGCCGAATCAAACATGTGCACATGAGGTTTGGCAGATTTGGAGACGAGTCACATGGCTCCTGCATTTTTCAGACTGTATTTTCTTAAGTGATAGGTTGTCATCTGTGTATCTAGCTACCGTCAACACACTTGAGATCCATTTGGCGGGACTCACAGAGCCACCTGCTCAGGGAACTAGACAAGCGAGGAGGAACAACAGACAAATTTCAGCAGCTTTGTGACTTGAAATACATTCCTCACAAAGGGTGAAAGGAGAGTAACAGTCAAGGAAAGAGAACCGTCTTCCAAACCACAAAAACTCCAGTGTGCCTGTACTGCAGGCCTCTATCAAAACACACAAATGTTATGTATAATCAATCCTCTTAGCACATCCAGTCATCATTACAGACCTGGATGCAGGTGCTCATTATTATATATACCTAATCCATTATAAACAAGTCTTGCTTCTACATTGTTCTGCGTAGGTCAATACATCTCCGTCTTTAATGAGGAAGCAGAAAAGAATCTAAGTAGATGAAACATTAAGTCGTCTTTTTCTCAACTTTCATATGCGGAGCATAGAAATGCTTTAGTGGTAATACATAAACAGCAGGCTTTAAGCCCCAGTGCTTTGATGTTGAAAAGTCATCTGTGGAACTGTCATCTAGGTGAACAAAAAAGGACTGATTCAAAGAGGCAAGGATGAGAACAGGAATAGCAGGCGGCAAGCGGTGTTTGCATGTGTATAGTACACACTTCTATGAAAACTTTTAAAAATTAAGAAATAAAACATTCTCTAAGTTTACAAAGTGACCCGTCTGCACTCATCACTGAAGTTGCCAGGTTCATAAACTCAGCCCACATAACCCCCCCTCTCTTATTATTTTCCCATTCCGTACTACTTTGTATATACTCTAGAAGTGCCCGTCTAGCAAATACCACAGACGGCTCATTCCAGTGTCACCAAGGACACTTTGAGGTAGACTACCTGTCCATGTTTTAGATTAAACTAGACTTGACAGGTCTTTCAGTTTCTAATGAACTCTACTAAAAGTGCAGCCCATTTATCTCTCTGTTTAGAGATTTTACATAAATAGTTCCCGGTAGTGGAGTTCTTCTCAGTCCTGGGTGCTATGAAGAAGTTCATTACCAGCAGAGCAGAGGGGCTAGTGGAAATTAACTTTGATATTCGCATGTTCTCTTTGTATACTTGCTATGAATCAAAGCAGAGTTTTAGAATATTGTAAAGAAAGCCTAAATATTAATGTTAAAATAGCATATGTCTAGCCATGACCCTTGCACAGTAAATCATGGTTATGTATGTGCCCACTGTCCTCCAGGTAAAGGGAATGCACTAATCATAGCTGAACCATTGCAAGCTGGTACGATGACAGAGTCCCTTGTTCCATGAATAGATGGGTAGTTGGGTGAATGAATAGCTGGATGGCTGGATAAACACAGGGACACGTATGTGATTAGCAATGTAACTCCCACCTTTGTAAGCCAGGAGAGTGTGTTACAATTGTATAATTTCAATACCAGGGAGATATCTCTGTTTAGATATATGGTATAGTGCACGAAAGCACAGCATGGGTCAATGAGCAGAATTAAGAACCTGGATCTAGGGCTGCAGATATGGCTCAGTGGTTAAGAGTACTGGCTACTATTCCAGAGGTCCTGTGTTCAATCCCAGCAACAATGTGGTAGCTCACAACCATCCGCAATGAGGTCTGATACCCTATTCTGGCATGCAGGTAGACATGCAGTCAGAACACTGTATACATAATAAATAAATAAGTTGAAAAAAATAAAAGAGCCTGATTTAAAGTTAAAGAGATGATAAACTTGAACTATTTCCCCTGAGTAAGTCAAAGCAATGTGGGGAGTATGGGAGTACATTGACCAAGTATCCACAGAGAAAGGAAAGGGAACCTCAGGACTCCGTGGCTGTAGGCACTGAAGACATAGAGACAGCAGGCCACAAGCCACACCATAGTAGCTCTGGAGCCAAATTTCTGCTCACATCCCAGTGCAATCATTCCTCACTAGCTCTGTGACCTCAGGCACACTTTCAGCTTCTGGGAGTCCCAATTTCTTGGTTATAAGAATTCAATAAAACAGCATGAAAGAAATGGTTTATGAGTTACAAAGTTTGTCCTCTGTGAAGACTCCTGAGAGTTTGCAAAAGTGGCCACAAGAACTCAAACCATAAGGGACTCTCCTTTCTGGCAGACAGATCTGTAGGGCATGGTTTTGAAGAAGTTCTGCTAAGAGGAGCAATTCATCTATTCTGCCATCAAGCACGTATTGCTCTGAAATAAATCAAGACATCAGAGTGAGCTGTAGGCCCAAAAGGCACACACTTCACTGAGACTGGGCCACAGAAACGAGGGGCCATATTGTAACCTCACTTTGCCCTGATGGGTGCATAGCCACAGAGACATTCAAGAGACACTATGTGAGGAGAATTGTCTCTCAAAATAAACACGCTGTGACCATCAGAGCGAAATCACTGTGCTGAACCAGAAGATAAGGAGGAGGGCATGGCAAGCCTGGAGTATGTGAAGATGACACCGCAGATCTGGACAGAGGGTGGCTCCACACAGAGACACTGGGAGAGGCTGCGGAGGCTGAGCTCTAAAGCCTGGGTGTTCTCTGGGGGGAAACGCCTCCAATGTGAGACTGCACTTTCCTCCCCAAAAGTTTGGGATGTGGAGAAAGGACACACTGACACCCTCAAAGAGCTATTCCTTTGTTGAAGGAAGTGTGTGCCTGTGGGTGCTGGCTTTGAGGTTTCCTATACTCAATATACCAGCCAATGTCACAGGCCAGTTCCTGTTCTCTATGAGTCAAGATGTAAGAAATCTCAGCTCCTGCTTCAGCATCATGACTGCCTACACACTGCCATGCTCTCCGCCATGATGATAATGGACTAAACCTTGGAGACTATAAGCTGCCATCTTACTTAAGTGTTTTCCTTATAAGAATTGCTGTGGTTATGATGTCTCTTCACAACAACAGAAGCGCTAACTAAGACAAAGACAAATGTCATCTGTGTGTAATGCCCTTTTTCCAGGTCCCTGAAGACCCTGATCCCAGCAACCACAGTGGATACATAACCAGTACATACGTAGACACTGGGAATCCGAGAGCCCGGCCTCTGCCTGCAACCACTGTAGCCTCTGCCCTTCTCTGTCCACGCAGAAGGCTACGCCACTCTCCCTGTCCCTCTGGCTGGCTTGGTACAGGCCATCCTGGTCACACTGTAGGCCAGCCTCATTCCTCTGACAGTCAGTGACACCTGGAACAATAGGTGAACACAGTAATGAGTAGGAGGACTGTGTGGTCTGTTCCTTCTCTTCCAACTTCCAGGACCACTGGGCTGTGGTGATGTCAAAGTCATGAGTAAGCCAGACATTCTAGCTGAAATCTCTTTGTGTGCCCATCCTCAGCAAAGCATACCACCGAGGCGCTATGTCCACTCCACAGAGCACCCTTCACATGTGCTGCAAAGCCCATATTTTGGAATCTAATCTTCAGTGGATTGTAGTAGGAGGTGGGGCCGTAGGAAAGTGATTTTTGACATGAGGACAGTGCTCTCAGACACTAGGGATTGGTGCCCTTACAAAAGAGGACAATGGAGTGCCATGCACTTTCTGCCATATAAAGACACCCAGAAAGCCAGTGTCTGTGGTATTTTCAGTAGACACTGAACCTGATGGCAACTCGATTTGGGGCTTCCAGACTCCAGAATAGGTAAAAACAAAGTTCTGTTGCCTGTAAAATCCACCCAGCTTATAGCTGTTTGACATAGCTGCCTAGAGAGACAGCAGCATCCCCAGACCCACAACTTGGTCTTGTCCAATGCTACTGTTCATTCTGCAATTGACACCTCTCCTTCAGAGTGGTAAGCTTGGTCGGTGTTTCTATTACCCCGTGAAAAGGTGGTTAATGACTTCTTGCATTCCACTTGATGGAAGCTCTGTGAGGCCAGGATCTGCAGCTGACTGCATTTCCTGTTGTCTAAAATTTACAACTCCCCTCCACATCCATGAATGTAAGGATGAAGCTCAGGGACAGAACTATCCCTGTGTTCAAGTTAACACCTCTTTCTGGAAGTCCTTTCTCCACCTGTCCAGTAGTATTCAGATCAGTCAATTCACTAACACTGCTCTGGATTCAGGAAGATAAATGAGGAAGGTTCATGACAGAGCCCAATCCTCTACAGCTACACAGAAATGTCACTGCAGCACCAAGATCAATGCACAGCATCTATATCAGTGTGCGTGTGTAGGGGGAAAGGTGTTATCACACATCAAATTCCTCCTCACTGTTTGCTATGAGCTTGACATTGTGTCTGCCCCAAATCGTGTGCTGAATCCACAATCTTTCGTGATAGAATTCGAGGGTAGCACCTCTGGGATGCAGTTCCGGGAGGATACAGTCAGTTTAGAAGACAATGCATTGTGTTTAAGCAACAAGAAAGGCTGGAGGTCTTGGTCTCTGTGCATACGGCACACAAAGGCCTCATGGAATAAGCACCTAGAGAAACCCAAGCTTGACACCCCTATTCCTCCCACCCCACAGCCCCACCTCTAACCCTCTATCCTGCCATGTTGACACACCGATCCTGCACCCTGAGAAAGCCCAGTGCCTATCACTCTAACCACTCTGCATCAGGTGGTATACCAGGAATATGGCACCAATGACCTGTCTCATAGAGGACAGATTGACACTCAGAAGACAGCTGCCTGACTCAAGCCACCTTGCTGGCGAGGGGAGGGAGGGACCAAGGTGGATCTCATTGTTCTGCTTCCTCCACTTCTGATTTGTCTCCTTCACAGTGAGGGGCAGGGCCTGACACAGATGCCCTTTTAAGAAAGTTCTGCTGTGGCACAGGGACTGCATGCCAGGCCACCTCCACTAAGAGTCAATGTTTAAGGGGAAATGGTACTCTGATGTCAAGGACATCATGCTGAGGAGTTTGCTCTAGGGGTCGATAGATTCCTGCCTACAAAATCCCTCTTGTTTTGAGTCTGTCAGCATTACCATCCTATTAGCATGGGCCTTCTTTCTATGGAAACTTATCAGAGAAGGTGGTTTCATCTCCTTCGATCACTTTCTAAAACGTACTGGAAAATACATGCTGTAAGCAATAACAATTTGCTTCATGCTGACATAATTGCAGACTCTCATCAACATGGTCATTACAAAGCATGGGTCCTTTCCCAAGAATACCCAGGTGGTTTTTAGTAGTCATTTGACACTCTGGAAGTTTCATAACCCATAGGAAGACCAAGTATGTGGGAAACTGGCAAGCATAGGGCCAGAAAAGACCGAACATAAGTTACATAGTGGTTATGTGTCTGGGTGGGAAAACTTTCTTCGGGATCTAATAAAGTCGATTTACAAAACAAGAAGTTTCAGAATCAGGCAAAACTAAGCTTAATGATCAGCTGAGTTAGTTGGGTGAATTTGAGTAAGTAAATCCTCATCTTATTTGTAAAAAGTGGGCTACACTATCTTCCTGGGAGAGGTGTTGGGGTGACTGAACGAGACTTTGCAGGTAACATGATTAGGCTGGAGCCTGGCAGGAGACTGGCATTAACAGAAGTTGGTTTTTTATTACCCAGTGGTTCTCAACAGTGGAGAGCTTTGTTGTGCATCATCACCCAACCCCCGTGCTACCCAAGAGACTCTTGGCAATTCTTCCTGTCAAGGTTGCTCGTCATAACTTGGGGGAAGAGGCCGCTGTTGTTATCTATCAGATGTGGGATACTGATGCTATTCAACCTCTTACCACTGTGGGTCATTTCTGGGATGCAGAGAGATCTCCAGTACTGACACTGAGCAGATGTATTGCAGCCTACTATGTGGAAAGGTTTTACCTTCATAGTGCCCGGAATAACTTACAAAGAGTCTTGCTGTAAGCTCCAGGAGCAATGGTCGTTCTGCCTCTTGGGCATGGGGTGCAGGCTGAGCTGCCTGCTTGTTCTTGGTATGTGCCAGCAGGACAGAGAGTACAGCGACCATCCTGAGAGAAGCTTCCTTCAGGGCACTTCACTAAGGGCACAAACAGAGAAGACATCAGAGTGAGAACTTACTTTATGGTCACAGGCAGGGCTTGTAGTACATATAGAATCCTATATTTCTGTATGTCCAGGATTTCAGTGGGGCAATTAATGAGAAGCAGGGAGCCTTGGGACCAAAACTAAGGAGACAGCTATGAAGACAGGCAGGCCTTTTTCTCCATAAGCTATGGACTTGCAGGAGGTGTAGGAATTCAGGCAAGATTTCAGACGTGGGTCAAATGAAGTAGGAGACATGTCAGGGCATATTGGAGAGAAACAGCCTCTGAGAAGTTAATATTAGTGTGTGTGTATGTGTTATGAAGCAAGTACCAGACAGTGCAAACTGTAAGTGCAAAATCCCCAAGATATAATGGCAAGAGAAAGGCCAAATCAGGTCAGCCAGGGAGCCAAAGCTGAGACTGCAAAGGAGATAAGCTTGGCAGGAAATGAATGGGAAAGATGAGGCCCAACCACAGTTTCCCAAACCTAAGGGTGTGACGGAGAGTGGAAAGAGCAGGCTGATAGGGTGAAATCCCACTTCCTGTGTAGTTCAGCATTTTTATTCTGTGTGAAATGGAGTCAACACTCTTTAGTGGGGTATAGCAGTCATGAACAGACAGTGTCTATCCTAATACCAGACTCATGTGTGCACTCAGCGAATAACAATTACTTTTACTTGTAAGAAAGTCCTTCCTTGCAGCCAGCTATGCACAAATGGTACCTTCTCAATGGGTCGATTCCAGTAATTCTTAGCAACTTAGTACCATCTCACTTGGCAGCTGTGGTTGATGTCCCTGTAGGTCAGTCACTAATAATGCAGCTCATACTGCACAAAGGCGAGACTAATTGGGCACCCAGCAGACTAAAGGTGGTTCTTGCTATCAGGCCTGCTGGCTTCAGATTGACTCAGAAAGCCCAAATTCTGTGGATAAGAGCTCTTGTCAACTTGTCAGCCTGGATGCCGGTGTCTTCCTGTGGTCTCTCCCTGTTACATCGCTCAGCTTCTGGTACCCAGTGCTTTCTCTCCCTCTAATATCTTCAGCCCCTCTTCGTTTCTCTTCTCCAATATGGTGTAGGTGGGGAACCCAAAATCCCCATAGAAAAGGCAAATATCTCATGAGGCGTTAATGTCAGATCCCTCAGGAGCTCCACTGCAGAGCTGTGCTGGAACCTGCACCCTGACCCTGATGGCTCAGTGAAGCATGGAGGACCCTTCTCTTTTCCCTCCTTTTTCAGCCTTGTATTCTCAATAGTTTGTCAAGTAGCTTCAGAAACTGAGTTTTACCCTGCGAAAGGTGGAGATGAAATCTTTCCCACCCTTGGAGCCTTCAGCATGTGTCTGGCACGCTGCTGGGCATGCTCCGTGGATTAATATATACCGCTAAGAGTTCACATCTATTCCCATCTCACAGGCAAGAAAGCTGGGCCTGGAGTGCTCAGATATCACTTCCTATAGCATTCTTCTGGAAGGCAAGAGGGGGGAGATTACGACACGTGACAGGCACAGTGCCGGCTATTTCCACGTGTTGTCTCACAGCCCTATGAGAAGGACATCTTTTCTGAATTGGCAGCAAGGCAATGAACTGGTAAAATGTAAGCACCGAGTAGTGGTGAGATGAAGCCAATGAACGTCCTAGGGGCTCCTATCCCTGGTCTGCATGCATACTTGGTGTGTCTGAGTAAACCAGAGTCTCCTCTACATCTTGGAAACTGAGTCATACTTTCCAGTCCACCCTAGCAGAGAATATCCTTCTCTGGGCACGGAGTTTCATTACTTCTTTGAGTCAGGCTCTTGATGGTGGCTTTCTCAAGTAAAGGCCCTCTGACTTCAGGACTAGAGGAAATAAAAGCTTCCTGGCCAATGCAAGTGGCCTGCCATCTTCACTCGGAGTCCTGACGAAGACAGGAAAGTGACACCTGGGGAGATAGCATCAAACCACAGGCTCCTGTCTGAGGAGTGTGCGTGCTCTTTCCCCACGGTGACTGTCCCTGATGTCAAGAGTTTTTCCACCTAAAGAGCACCGTTCATGATCATAATAGGGTGGGGCCTTGATGATTATCATCCTTTCTTCAGAAAGTGGATCCTCTCAAGTCCACCTTGGCCCCTGCCTGCTCATTTTCCCCTTCAACTATGTCCCTCCACCAGCCAGAACTTCTGAGAGCTGTGACCGGTACTTTCCTTTATATAATACACTGTTGGATCATTTGAGTTTAGCGTTTGCAGGGCTCTGAATCACATTCTTCCTGCCAATCTTTCAGCCCTGTCAGTGACAGCTATACTTTTGAAAAGAGGAAAAACATCTCTGGGGAGAGATCATGGTCCCTCATGCAAACCCTGTCAAGGCTTTCTGGCCCTGTCACTCTTTAGCTCCAAATTCTTCTGTGGTACTCTGCTGGTGGCCCAGACATCTTGTCTATCCTTCTCTGTACTCTGTCTTTCTCAGTGGGTCACCTCCTGACATGTTCCCCACAGATCCCATTCTGCTACAGAAACCATGGCATTGTCTCAGAAAGTTAAGAACTTTTAGACTCATAGATTTTTCAGTAATCCACCCAGTTTCTAGGATAGTCTTCATTTTAGTGAACCTAACACACAAAAGTACACACACACACACACACACACACAACACACAACACACACATACACACACACTCACACTCACACCTGTACTCCCATTCAGGTACCTTGCTCCCATCTGCCTATCTTAGCAGCAATCCCTGCTCACTTTTCCAGACCCCACCCAGCACCTGCTGCCCTAGTATACCCCTCTGACTGCCTTACAGGGCTCTTTATACCACAGCCTTCTGGTCCAGTTGTGTATGGTGCCATGGCCTTCGCTGCTCTGTACTTGTGATGTGCAGCTTGCACATACTATATTTTTAAAGCCTAGATGGGTGGATGACAGATGGATGAAATGGGGCAAGGGAGGAAAGGAAGAAGGAAGAAGCCACAACATAGCACTTTGGGGGTGGGGAAGGTCCACAGGGACCTAGTTTTATAAGAAGAGTTTGTAGTAAGATAAGAAGAATTTATAGTAGATAAGTGAAAATTAATGTCACACATAAAGAGAATGGAAATCCCAACAATCTCCTGGGATCCACTTCCACAGGAGCCATAAAGATATATGGAGGCAAGAGAGTGAACTAAACATATCCTGATGAAACTACAAACAAGGCATCTTCTCCCTAGCACCATCAGTTCTCAGAATCTGAATGACCATACAGTCCACAAGGGAGGGAAGCTTCTTCTGCCCCTCAAGTCACTGCACTACCAGGGATCACTTACATCAGACCTCAGAGACAACAGATAAAAACCCTGCTTCATCTCCGTAGGACAATGCTCTGCCTTGTAGGTCCACAGCTGTGTTCCAGATGTGTTTTAGAAGAAGAGCCAAAAAGGAGAAACCTGAATCTTGGGGCCTGTGATTTCACTAGACCTCCTTTGTTGAGAAGGGAGGGGCGTGCTCACAGGGTGGAACCAAAACTCTGGAGCAGATAGAGCTGAGCTCGCATGTCTACACAGCCAGGCAACGACACAGGCACTTGCTGAGAGTTGCTCAAAGAAGGAGAGGTGTGCTTTCATCAAGGAGGTCATGATTTTCAAGGGAGGACAAGTAACCTCAGTGGTCCGCAGGATAAGAAGGTGCTGGGGTGGCCAGGACTCAAGTCCAGGTGTGTCTAAATAAAGAGTGCTGTCCTGGGAGTGTTTAGAGCTCTATGCCTTAATTTCCTCACCTCACTCGGGATAGGATGGGGGCACACCGAACCCTCCAGAAATGCCCACACATCCAAGAAGGCCATACATATACAAGAAACTCACTGGGGATCTCAGACATAATCAAAGCTGCCCACGTCTTTTTCTGCTGCTTTTGTGAACATACCCTTGACTTTTCTGTCTGAAGAGAGAGGAAAGGCTGGATGGTCAGGTGGTCAGCCCTTGTGATAGGATCTGAATGTCACCATTGATCAAACACCCCAGAGGAAAGTTGTGATTGGATTATCATCTTTCCCTTTGGTTTGTGTGTGTTATAACATGAACACAGTGTCCTTACATGTGTATAAACAGCCACACACCAACTTAATGGTGTTCATCCATGGAGCCTGGGACACTGAATATTAAAGTCTGAGAACACAGTGGCTGACATGTATGACCTGTCCTCTCTGTGACCATGTTCCTCCCACTTAGTAGATGCCACCCTCCACTCCTTCCTCCACTTCTCAGCCTCTTGTTTGGAAAGCCATTAAAAGAAAGAAAGACAGATTATGTGTTCTGGACCAAGAGAAGGTAGGATTCCTCACCCATTGATATTGGGTTTGGTGATTTCAAGTCCCTCTTGGGAGACAGCCTGTTCGAGCTGCACATGCCCATTTAACAGAGCCTTTATTTCTGTCTCATAGGAAAAGGCCCTGCCACCCAGAACTCCTGTGAGAGAAATACTTGCAAAGTCACACTGCAGACTGTAAAATCAGCAGTAAATAATGGCTGGAAATGGCTGTGCTCCTGTTCTCTGTGCTACGATGGGGATGTAGCTCAAACCCAGTAACTCGGCACAGGTTTCAGGACATCTATGGAACCTTTTTGTTGCAACCAAAATAAATAATGTGGGGGAAATAACAGAGAAGATCTCTCTCCAGCTTGATAAACCACTTCATCTCATTCCATGTAGGAAGAAGGCTTCCATACCATCAATAAGCCTTTCAGTCTTTGGTGATGGAACAATGATTCTATCACCCTACCCACATACGAGCACATTCCTACCCCTGGAAGCTTTATATTAAGTTATATTGCCAAAAGAAATTAAAATTAGAGAAGGAATTAAAATAAAAACAGATGAACCATTCAATCATGGAAGTGTCCTGGATTATCCAGTTGTGGGTCATTAAAATGGCTCTTAAAGCAGAAGGATGTGGCTTGGGAAGCAGAGAGGATCAGAAAGGCACCATAGTGCTGCCCTTGACCATGAAAGAGGGATTCTGGGGCCAGAGAGTGGGCTGGCTTCGAGAAACTGGAGTCAGCCTCCTCAAGAGTCTTCAGGAGGAACACAGCCTTGAGGGTACCTCAATTCTAGCCAAGGAGACACTTGTTGCAATTCAGCCTACTGAACTATGAGATAAAACCACTGAGTCTAGCATGGTTTGTAAAGAGAGCGACAGGAAGCTGACACACGTCTGTTATCCACTTTGCAGCTGCATTCCCATGAGAGTGATCTTCAAAGATGCTCATGGCAAGAGCAAACACAGCCACGTCAACCCGTCCCTGTCTCATCTCCATGAGCAACAGAGTGGGCTGGCAAATGGCTATATAGGGGTTGAGAGGAATAGCATGTCCTAAAATAAAACCCAGATATCTTGAGCCAGGATACAGGGTAGAAGCTGACTTTCTTTTCCCAGTGATCCCAGCCCCAGGGTTCAAGCTGAGGAAGAACTAATAGAAAGGACAATGTCACACACTCGATGTTTCCTCTTGTTGAGCCTTGTGGGTGATGGTACTGAGTGATTCTCATGAAAACTGGACAGTGGAAAATGCTTCTTGACCAACGCATTGATGATCAACCCCTCTCTTCCCAGAGTTCACTGGCCTTTCCTGAAGCCTCCTGGGGTTCCATACCTCAGTCCAGAGGGAGGTGGGTACCTACCACAGCCCAGAGGGTCCTGACTGGTGCCTGAAACTCTGTAGAATCCTTCCAAGCACCCAAGCTGAGTCCTGGGAGAGGTGACAAAGCTGTCCTCATGGAGGAAGTACAAGGCAGTGTCTGCTGGGAAGGTCTTGGAGTCCAGATGAAGCTGGAACTTGCCACTTTGGATCAGATCGGCAAATCGCCCAAGAAGATCCTGGCCCACTAAAGCCCTTTCTGTAAGACACAGGCAAAGGAGGCAGAGGTCATCTCATTGTTCCCAGCAGGACCAGAGAGGATAATATGGGTGGGGCTGCCTAGAAAACCCTGGCAGAAAGACATATGGGCATCATGAATTCTCTGTTATTAGACATTATGACAGACTCATATGGGCTCAGGGGTGAGTGGCTGGCCCAAAGACACAAACTTGCAAGTCAAACCCTAATCTTAAGTCTCAGATTCTGTGGCACCAAAGTGGTCCATCTTGGCACATGATATGCTTTACCATGATCTGAAGTACACTCTTCAGCTGCTCTGCCCCTCTTCTAAGTCTCAGTGTCCACATCTGCTTGACAGACCTAGAAATGCTTCTTTAACCAGTGGGAGGTTCCCAAGGGATAACGTATATGCAAGGGCTACCCACATGAAAGACACGGTCTTCTGTTGGAAATGTGGCTTTTACTATCCTGCTAAGTTTAGAGAAGGCTATGACTTCCCAAGCAGAAAGCTTGGGAAGTGCCACGAAAGGTGCTGGGGCAGACCTCTATGTGCAGAAAACATCCATGCTAAACCTGTCCCTGGCTGTGACCTGAAGCCACAGTCATCAATGTCTGCACATTGAAGCTGGAGACGAACATCTTATAGTTTTACAACATCAAACACTCCCAGATCACCCAGGCTTTTTCAGGGGAAGGCTAATGGAAATCCTGTATTCATAATGGTAGGTAGATTTTTGCCAAGGTGGCTTCAGGAATCCAAGAGAATAATAGACTTATAGCCTGCTTCCTGGATTCTACCCCGGCCTTGTGTTTTTGACAGATCTCTCCTCATAATACAGAGGTCAAGTTGCAGCTACTCGGATAACTGGACATTGGGCCACTGAATGACAGAGAGACAGGAGTTACCCCTCACACACCAAGACTCAACTTGGAAATGTATGGATTATTGCCTACCCTACCAGCAAGCTCAGAGAAAACAGGGTGCACATTCATGATAGCACTTACATGATTCATCCTACCCTTTCTTCTTAGGTCTTTGTGATCTCTATCCATCCCTAGCATAACTGTCAGGCTTTAGGTGGGGGCAATAGGTTGAGGTGTTTTCTCAGTGAACATGGGTGGTGTGGAAGTTGTTAGCCAGTAAAGAGTCCCTCTTTCCACCTAATCTCCCCTACACTGTGCCTCGCCCCTACATTGAAGTCTCTAGCCTCTCTGTTGTTTATGATGCTATTTGTTCCTTTTGTCCAGAACTTTACTGACTTTTATATATATACTTAATATATATACTTTTATATATATACTTTTTTTCAAGTATATATGCTATTTGTTATTAACCCTTTGAGACTTTCATACAATGTAATTTGATCATACCACCCTAACTCCTTCCCCGAATTCTTCCCAGATCAACCCTACCCCCCACCCACTTCCCAAATTCCATACCTTCTGCTTTTCTAGAAATCTATTGACTACACAGTAATTATTATCCAGTAATTATTTAATAATCTATCCAATTTGTGCTGCCATGTGAGACGGTTCAGAGAGCACTTGCTGCTCTTGCAGAGGACTGGAGTTCAAATCCCAGAATTCACACTGGGTGACTCACAACTGCCTGTAACTCCAGTTCCAGGGGATCTAACTTTTATACGCTTTTAAACACACAATTAGCTGTTCCCAAGAGCTAGACACAGCTCTCCCCAAGTTGTTATGAGAAGAGATGGCACCTTTCCCAGTTTCATTGTAAGGAGGGGAGTCTGAGGCTCCACGAGGCTGCCTGGCTTCTTCAAGACAGCAGCCCAGGTGAACATACCAATGCTGTGCAAATCTGGAAGTGAGGCCGTTGAGATATCAGCAAGCTGCAATTTCCACGTGATGTTCACTCCCAAACGCTCTGCAGTCAGACACCCGACCTGAACCGAAGAGCTGTCACAGACAGTGCTGGAAGCCAGGGTCCCAAACGTATTCACCTGCATGGAGAACGACCCCTTGGTTTAGGAACAAAGAAGCTGATGCAATCAAGCATGCGTCAGGAATCGGAAGGAGCTTATGTCGTCCTGTAGTCTTCTATCACCCTGCTCCTGGGGCTTTGGGTACTGAAAACGCTCCCTGAGAGTTGAGGCTGAATTCAGCCCGAGCCCTCACTGTGGGGAAGGCTGCCACATACCCGGATCTGGCAGAAGCCACGGCTTGTCAGCTCATCCAGTATGAAGACCCGGAAGGCCTGCAGCAGGCCGGAGTAGTCAGCACTGCACATCTTGCCTGGTGGGAGCAGGAGCTGGAAGTGTGCTTGGGTTTGCATGGTCTGCCACAGCTGAGGCCCTGCAGCCAAGCACAAGAGGTCAGTGCACCGAGGTGACAGGCCTGCAGGACTCGTTCCTGTGGATTTTCCTTTGTATAAAAAGTTCCTCCTCATTTAGCACAAGCACACAAGCATTGCCTTTTCGCACTGACATCCTAAGATACCCATACGTTCTGGCACACTGTTTTAGCTGAGTCACTCAGCCTCCTCACAGCAAGCTCAGCCTCTGAATCAGGGTTCTTCATAGGGGTTATGATATTCTCCCTGAAATAATCTCTCATACGGCTTTGCAAATAAACACCACCATCCTGCTTGATCTGCAGGCTAGGGGTAGATGTTCTCTAACGCTGTTCAGTGTTCAATGAGGATTAATGTGGTCTTGATTTCAGCTGAGGTCACCCTGTTATATAATCAAGGGGACAGGCCACTTATTTGTCCAAACTACATCTTAAACTTTTTTTGGATGAGAAGCCCCTACAACCCATGGTGCTTTGCGGCTAATCCCATCCTGAACACTCTGGCTGTCAGCTAGCGCCTGGCGATGGAGGTCAACCTCAGGATATGGATCTCCAACTCAGAAGCTTCTACCCCTACCCTAGGAGGGTCATGTGTGATGTTCCAGTTCAAACTGGTCTGCTGGAGCTACTTATACCCTGGCCTTGTCAAGGCAGGCTTGGGAGGAAATCCAGGCTTCCACACTGGTATGTGTAGGTGGGTTCCCTGGGGCAGTAAGAAACTGTACAAAGGAAGAGGTCCGCATCTACTCAAGACACTGATGCTCATATGGCACAGGTCTTGGACCCCTGTCTTTCTCGGACTTCACCATAAAGGTCAAGATGGATATGGGGAGAGGTTAGGGTTTGCCATAAATTGAACAGGAAGATCAAAGTACATCGCAAAAGTCCCTAACTCTGCAGTGGGAGCATCTACCACTGAACATCTGTATCTGATCCAAGTTGCCAACAGGCAACCTAGACTAATGTTAATTCTCCCATAGAGCATTTGGCTCCAGAGAGCCACTCAGAAAACCTAATCACAGGGGCTATGGGCTTATATGCTCCTAGAAGCAGTGCTTCCTGGGGCCAGCTCTCCAGCCCTGGTGCCACCTGACTTAACATGAAAAGGCTGTGTTTGAATGGGAGAGAGGTTCCTCAGCAGTATCCCTGAGAGGGAACAGAGTGCAAGACAAATGTCCCCATTGCTACTCACGCTGGCAGGCTCGGGGTGGCGGCGGTGACACCCAGCGCTGACTCTCCAGGTCACAAATCAGTGGTCCCAGTGGGACTGCACCCTGACGGCCCTGGCGGCAGAGCAGCTGGCACCGCTGAATGGCAGTCACTCCTGCGCCAGAGGCTGTCTCACAGAGGACTACTCCATCCATCACATCTAACTCCGAGAATGGCAGCGGACACTGTGGACCTGGGAGCAGGTAGGGAGAAGAGTCATGGCTGCCTACCGGGCTGCAGCCTAGCTCCTGCCTGCTTTACTGTGTCCCTTGATTGTTTCTCAGGTCCATCCTGGCTGTACCCTGCTCTGCCAGGGCCTGGGCCTTCCCCCTCCTTCTCTGGATAAACCCACCATCTCTTGATTTCACCAGACAGTCAAAGATGAATCTTATAACAGTATCTCCAACTACTTTATAAACCCAATGAGCCACCACTCCATCCTCTTTACCTCAGGGCTCACAGACCAGTTGCTGTCCTCCCTGTTCCCCACTATAGCAGCTTGGAGCTCAAGGGGTGGCACCTGCAAGCCACTGACAGCTCCAAGTCATAGGCATGCCATGGAGCCAATGAGGTCTCTGCCTTCCCTATGTCTTCCTTGTCTGAACATGTTCCCTTAGTGAGACAACAGTCCTCTGTGTGAGCTCTTCAGCACTGTCCCCCTTCCCAAGGTCCCTCCCAGCCTCCACTGCCCAAACTGGCTATGGGCTCTTGATGCCTTGTATGCCTGCTGCCTCTTCTGTCTGCTCTCCATACTCAGTTGTAGAACATCCCGTGGGACGCTGCAGCATGGGAGAACTAGACCAGTGGAAAAGGAAAGAGGACAGGGTGGACTCGTCTTCACTTTAGTCTCCTGGCTCTGGGATCCTTCCAAAATTGTATCTACTAGACACAGTCATCAAGGCTATGGTTAAGCTCTTAGCTTTGTGGCCTTAACCAGCACATTGTTTTGTTTCCTTGTGTTTTGGTTTGGTTTGGTTTTATTTTGTATTAGACACCGTCTTGCTATGTTTACCACCTGAGAAGGTTCTCGGGCATTGCCTTTGTGGCAGGCTTTTAATAAGTATATTATAAAATATAATAATACATCTCAGTATTCTTCTATATGCTCATGAGATATTTATCTCAGTATTTGATATTCAAGTAACTTCCTGAATTACAAATAAGAACAAACAAGATGGCCCCTTGCTAGAAGTCAGAAATGTGAGTCCCCATGAGGTCCTGCAGTTTGGATGTTTCTTCTGACTGGAAACAATAGGAAAAGCCAGGCCATATTCTATTAACCACCACAATAGATTTCAGAGGCACCAGGTCCAGGCTTGAATGAGCTATGGAAGTGCCCACCAGTAACCATAGCACAGCAGTCAACTGTCTTGATATCCTACCCATTCCTATCCTAACAGCCCAGCATCTCTGAGACCCTGACCTGGCACAGCATGAGGCTCTCAGTCTACAGTCCCTCCGGCAGACTTACTCTCGCAGGCAGGCTGGGTGCCTGCCACACGGGTTCCAGGCACTTCCTCTCCATTGTCCAGGACGCACCAGCAACTGTCCTGGGCCAAGTCACACTGCACTGGAGAGAAGCCCCCGCCCTGGACCTCGCAGATTGGGGTGTAGCCAGGGCTAACTTTCTGGGTCAGGGCTCCACTCTTGAGAACATCACAGAGGCCGGGGCCTGTACAGAGGCAAGAGAAGGGAAACATGCTCTGATGTTTGCTCCCAACTTTGCCACATCACTCCCTGGTATTCCTACCACACCAGGCCAACAGCTTGCAGGGTTCCAGGGGTCTGGGCTCTATCTCTCCCATTGCCTACCATGGAGGGGCTCAGAACCTCACAGGGGTTTTCAAAGATAAGCAACTGAAGAGAAGGGTGATAGGGTACAGTATGGAGTCATGGGACAGTCTTGAGTCAACAACCAGAGAGAGACTTGTGAAATCTTCTAGGAAACTGCTAGGGGTCTCTGAGAATCTGTTGGAGAGGAGTGGGGAGGGATAGATATCTTCTAGGCAGCTGAATTACACTGAACAAAAGTTAGGAAGAAAAAGCATGCCCTCTCTTTAAGTGCTAACCACAGTTTGTGACAAGATCTCAAGCACCAGCAATGGCAGAGCAGAAGGCAAGAGGTCACACAGGAGTCTAATGTGGGAAACCTGTGCTATGCCAAAAAGCCCCAGGATGGCCTTGACAACATAAGCACTTGACACAGAGCTGCAGGGCCAGGCAGAGCGTGCAGTACCTCAGAGCTACATGACCAGTGGTCCCCAAAGTACCAGTGCCCCTGTAGGCAGGGACAGATGCTGGGTAGTGATGCTGGCTAGTGTTGCTTGGTTACAGAGCACAGCCAGCTCCTAAACACAGACTTTCCTGAGCTCTATCAAGATGAGAAGAATCCTGTCTTATAGATGAGAAAGTCAAGGGACATTTGGGTCAGGACCTGTGTCCCAGCTGTGGAGGTGGCAGAGTTGGGACTTTTTACCCAGTGCTCACCTTGGAGGCTTTAGAACAACAAGGGGAAGAGATGGTTACTCACACTGAGCACTGCCATTTGTGTTTGGTGGCATCCGTTCCCCTGAGGCTGGGTCCACACACCAAGTTCCTGTTCTTGATGTCTGCTGCCTGGCATACTGTCCTGTCTGTGATAAAGCCATAGTCATTTCAGTATATGCAAGGTTTTGCAGTTCACTTATTGGTGAGAGAAAGTCTTAGAAGAATGTCCCTTCCCAAACAACTGGTGACAGCTCCTCCGGACAAAGAAGGTTTTCCATAAGGGAGTCACTGTCCCATTCGAACTTTAGAACCATGCTCTGAATTGCTGACCACCAAACAAGAACAAGTTGTGCCATTTGAGAGCAGGGAAAGCTGAGTCTTCTTATGAGATGTGAGGCACTGGAGCGATAGCTGGATCCCATAGCTAGAGAGTAGCAGGACTGCACATGACACACTCTGGCTCCACATGGTTCAGAACTAATTCCAGAGATAACTTTTAACCTAGAACCTCAAAGAAGCCGTAAACGTCTGTAATTGGTAATACAGGTATGCTCCAAGGCAGTGACCCAAGAAGCCCTACCTCCTATTAGGGACCTTCAGACCGGACCTATCAGTGTGGACTCCTACTTTCCTGGCCTAGCCTGGGTCAATGTTCTTTCCTGACCTGATACTTTAAGTATCTAGGCCTCAGGTCTTGGTTTCCCCACCTAAAAGCCAGGAAGCTGGAGTAGTTTGATCCTCTATGTTTCTCCTCTCTTATCTCTCTCTCTCTCTCTCTCTCTCTCTCTCTCTCTCTCTCTCTCTCTCT